TGATCTCAGCATCTAGCACAGAGTGGCCCAAAAGAACCTTCTGGAAGGATGGAAATGTCCTATATTTGTGCTGTCCAAAACAGCAACGACTAGATTCACAAGACATGGAGCACTTGACACAGTGCAATGAAAGAACTAAAACTATAATTCAATTTTAATTAATTTAAAATGAAAATAACCACATGTGGCTAGAGGCAACACCATGGACAGCACAGATCCGAAACCTATTATCATCTGATCTGATCTGGGTGGTGGGGGTGTGGGGGGGCGGTCCATGAATTCCCAGGAGGTCTGGCCAAGCATCATTTTGAGAAGGCCCATAAAACATCTGAAACTGCATCACAAATTATACACATGTGCAAGTGCATTTTTCTGAGGGTCAACAAGCCCTCATCAGAATCTCAAAGGGGTCTGTCCCACCACAAATGTGAAAATCTGTTCTGAGACTGGGGAACATTCTAGGAATGTCAGTATTTTCTCAGTTCTAGGAAGATCACCTGGTTCTCAGAAGTCATCCCAGAATTCTGATACAGAAACAACCTAGACTAATTTTTCATGACCGCCTTGGTTTGGGCCCTCAGCTTATGCCTGTCATGGAATCAACTGTCATGGAATTCCAATCCATTGTCATGCACTCAATTTTGCCACAAGGGACTCTGGGAAGAAATCCCATTAACTTCAGTCAGTGTGTTATCTCACTCATTCATTCATTTGCCTCCTGGCTCATTTATTCTTTCATCACATATTTGAGAATCTACAACACGCAGAGGACAAGGAAGGCAAGAAGTGAACTAATTCAGGCCTCTGGGCCCTGGACAGATCATGGGGTGGACGGACTAGGAACCTGAGAGAGGCCAAGGATGGGTGGGACAAAATTGAGTGGGGGCAGCTGGTTGAAAGTTTCTCTGGGCGGCAGTTAGACCTCAGAATCCCCTCACCAATTTTGCACAGCCAGTGACACCTCGACCCACGCAGATGGCTGGAGGTCTACTCTCCAGGAAAGATGAACCATAATGACTTACAGTCAGAAGCACCAGGCAGTGGCTGGGAACAGGGAAAACAAGGGGAAAAAAGGGATCACATGAAAGTCCATGTGCCAAAAGTAGAAGGTGTGCACCCCTTCCATCATAACTCTTAGCAACACAGGAAATTCGGCTTGGAACACTGTAACTAGCAGGTGAAGACAGCGAGGATATGGTCCCTGCAAGCCTGGCCTAGTCAGGGGAATGTCCTCCAAGACACTGTACTGTGTGTTCCAACCTCAAAGGGTGTGTAAAACTTAGAACCAGTGGAGGAAAGAAACCAGCAGAGGACCACGAGGGAAATCAGGTATATCAGAAAATGCCACTCACAATTTCAATGCAGTGCATTTCCTAAGAGGGGAAAACCAGAGATCACAGCCATTCCTGAATTGTCCTGTGTTTAAGAACCTACGGTGAAATTCAACACAAAGCACAGACTTAAAAGAATTGGCAGGTGGCTCTGATGGCTGCCACCTGTAGAAATCGGGGGCCACAAGTGTTTGGGCCTTCCATGTTCCGTGCTTGTCAGAATGGCGAAGGAAGCAATTCCTGAACTCTACAAAACTACTGTCCAATGCTAGACGTAGCACAGATTCACGCCCTGAAATTTATATGGTATGCTCTGCAGGACTGATTATGGAAAATGTTTATCTTCTCTAGATTTTGTTTCAGAGGGCAGCAGAAAAAAAATGATCACGAGATGCTGGTGATAACCTAAGTTGATGGTTTGAGTTAAGAGCCCTGACCTTACCTTTTGATACTTCTGAAGAGTTTGGGTCGCCTTTGTTTTGATGTTGTCTGTATGTTTGTTTTTAACCAACTGGTACCGAAAGCAGTGGGTCACAAGCCCTCGGGGCCATCATTGCCTCCCGACCTTTTAACAGAGTTCCCAATTTCAAAATCAGGTTTTTGGTGCTCACATTCTAAAGCTCTCTTCAAACCGTTCTGTACTGGCAACACCTAAAAGAGCTAACTCACTATGTGGAGAGGAAGCCTGCCAGTTGTCATACCTTTTATGACCCCAAAGGAATTTCTGCATCAGCGAAAAGGCTAAGGCACTTAATAGTCAGGAATATGGAGCCTACCATGTCTCTTACATACAGGGGCAAATAATATTAATAGTAATGAGGTTAAGAGAAACTGAGGAAGGCAGTGCAAAGATGTAAATTTTCTTAGGCAGGTGAAGTACTGTGAGGGCGCATAGAACACGCACACCACCTTTATTTGTTCCCTAAGGAAAATAATCTGAAACAAACATAAGGTGACCTGGCTTATGAGAAAGCAGAGTTTGCGTGTGTGGGCGTGTGTGTGGCTGCAATGCTAGCAGCATCTAAACCAAAAGCAATTTAAATTATATGGATAATGCCCATAATTGCAGATGTGATTAGCTAGAACGGAATATTAAAGTAAGAGAAAGCACTGTAACATCCTTTACCAAACACAAAACCCCATCACCATAAACTGCCCTTGCAAACTGTCAGTGGTTTGTGAGAGCTTGAAAATCTTTTCAAATGGGCACCTAAAATAATACTACACTAATCTCAAATAAATTTAGTATTTTATTCATTGTCCCCACTTCAACATCAGCGCCTTTATAGACACTTAGAGAATTATCTGACTTCAAGAGAAGTCAAATACTAAGTAAAAAATGGTCATTTTAATTACCTCAAAGTGCTCAATTAGCCATGTGTTGAAAATACTTTGGATCAATTTAGTGCATAAAAATAACTAATAAATTGTTTTGATGTACTTTATAAATTTAAAGTGTTAAATAAATGACCTATAATCAGAATCCCCATCATCATAAAAAATAATTTAACAGCCACAAAGTGACTGTCATAAATGTAATATTTGTTCTCAGGACTGAGGAAAAGAAAACACTTACAAAACTGAAATCATGAGAACCAAGTGGCATTAAGCTCACGGTCACCTTCAAAGGTAAACATTCAGCAAGGCCCCACAACAAAACAAAATCCAAAAGACCCAAAATTCAAGCAAGATCAAGGAAGCTGAATGCAATTTTACTTGATTTGATGAAACAAATGTATAACTTTATCTACCTAAATGTAGGTAGATAAGATTCAACAGATTGTTTAAAAAAAAAAGTTCATGTGTGAGGTCTAGAAAATGGGCAATCTATTTTCTGATCTGCTTCCTAATGCTAACTAATGTTCATTACTACAGGATGAAAGCATCAAGAATAAGAAAAAGAGCTGACATGAGCTGGCTAGCATTTCTCTGCTGTAAAACCAGAAATTTATATCCGAAGGAAAATAGCAATAAGGAGAAAAGACTGTCAAAAAAGTTAAATATACACTAAATGTTGCTCATCGTTCTTTTTAAGAATGGGGAAACTGTAGAGTCTGGTGAATTAAGCAGCAAAAAGATGTCAAGTGCAATGATGCTGAACCCCAGGCACATCTTAATGGCTTAGGTAGTTTCTCCATCTGTAAGTCAGGACATGCTTGCTCTGTCTGTTAGGTGATTTACAGCTGCAGAGCCCTGGAAGTTCCAGCTGCTAAATAAGCGACAACTGCTGAAGAATTTTAACCATAATGTGCTAAAAAATAATGAGGAAGCATGGGCTTTGAACTTTGCCATTTTTGCTTTCAAATTAATCATGCAAACAAGACTCCAATCTCATAATATGAACTAACATAGTAGTACATAGCAAGTGTTCGCTTCAGGGAACTGAACTCACAGAAGGGACCCTGTGGTCCAAGAGCAGTTGACTCAACTTCACATGTAGTAATGAAAATAAGGTCGTGCTCTGTTCCTGTAGCTCCAGAAACACCACCATTATGCCTGCGTCTACATTTTGGTTAATGCCAGCTGGAGGCCATTCTACTTGAAAATTCAGTAAGTGATCAACTTTTTGGGAATTTCCTTCTATTTCAAATTGATTTTGAAATCTTAAGACACAGTAATATTTTAAACGATTTTTCTGAGAATTAATGATACATGGGGCGTTCAGCTAAACTCATTGTTCTCCACCCTTCCCACTCTCTGGGACTAATATTTACAAGATGGCAGACCACCTAAGGCTGTCAATGCTGTAAGACCTGCTTACTGAGGTAACAGAATGAAGATATTAGCATCAGTTCTATGAGCTTCCAAGCTTCCTATTCCCATGGTGCTAACAAGCATGTCATGAAATTTAAAATTTGGACCTGGTGAGCAAACATTATTTTATCATCTAGTCTTACTGGTTTTCCATGTACATTTAAAAGAACTACTCTTCATGCTATGAAAGAGAAAAACGAACACTCAACAAACAAAATTACCCAAGGAATTTTAAATCATAGAAAGATGGAAAAACCTTAGAGATCAAATGCATTTAATTCTTTCTCATTGAAAATATAACATCTAGAAAATAAAGTCTTCCATCTAAGTCCAAGTCTGATCAAGGTTCTACTTAAAAAGTACATTTTTTGTCAATTATCTGGACAATTACATATAAAATACAGCCATAAAGAACAGTTTAAACATGAAACAAAAGCCTAAGTCCTATTTTATTTTATTGTGTATTTGGAGAGAAAGTCATCTCCAGTTACTATTTAAGGATAAATTAAATATCTATGGAAGAAGAAACCAAAGTAAGGGTATTATTCACATTAAAATGCAAATATATAATTTTATCCTCATAATAACCAAGACCTCAAATACCAGTTTTAGTGACTCATATTAATTTAATTATGACATTAGCTTTTATAATCATAGATGTAAAAAGACCACTGTGTTCCAAACATAATTATCACACCAGTATCTCATTTCATGAAATTATTAGCTAAGATGAGAGCCTCTGAACAAATTTACATTTGATTAGTTTCACTTATTTAAGAACAGTGAATAATTGAAGATCTGTTTAAATAAAAGAAAAGCAGATAGGAGCACTTCTGAGGACTGCTAAGTTCCTCTGCACCCTGGCATTTCTGGATGGACCCTAAATCCTTCCAAATGACTGCTGCCTGGGCATACCTTCCAGGTGAAGCCACATCAGTCTCCCCTTCACACTGACAACAGAGGCCACGCAGAGTTCTCCTGGATTCCTGGGGTTGACAGCTTCAAGTTTCATGTTCTTTGTGAAGCCCCGACTAAATGATGTCTGTAAGAGAGAGAGCACAGACACTGAGCCAGGGACACCACAGCAAGATATGGTGCAGACAGGGCTGGCCAGCTGGCGAAGCAGGGGCACCCGCACATGCTCACACGCACACACACAGATTGCATCTGCAACACGGGTGGGCTAACTCACATGTTGGTCTTTCCCACCATTCTTGAGAAAAGAACCACGCCTTCCTCACTGGGATCCCAGCAGTCAGAAGAACTCTGCTTGATGCACCCCAGGCACCCAGTAATAGTTGTTGAGTGAGGGAGAGGATGATGTGTTCTCCCTTTCTGCCCTGACGTCGACACAGTCACTGAGGCACGAATCATTCCTTCCTCTGCCCTGCACTCATGTCACCCCTGGGCCTATTAGGGGGTGCTAGAAGAGATAGATTTAGCCCCCGTCTGAGGCCATACTCCTTCAGCCTGAAGAATATCTGTTAGCATTTCTTTTCATGCATGTCTACTGATGATGAATTACCAGTTTTCTTTTACTGAAACTGTCTTTATTTTACCTTTGTGCTTTTTGTGTATTATTTTTATTTACTTTCTAGATTTGCTTTTTAAATATTTACACATAGGAAAACTTGCTTTTTTCAGTGCCCTGTTCTACAGCATGGGGCTGTTATATGTTAAGTCTGCTCAGGCTGCCATAAAAACACCCCAGTTTGGGGGGCTTAAATGACAGGTATTTGTCTCACAGTTCTGAAGGCTCAAGTCCAAGATCAAGGTGTCAGTAACACTGGTTCCTCCTGAAGCCTCCCTCCTTGATGTGCAGACTGCGGTCTCCCTGTGTCTCCACATGTTCTTCCTCTATGCATGCAGTCAGTGTCCCACCCATGTGATCTCATTTTACCTTCATAACATCCTTAAAATCACATTCTGAGGTACTAAGTAACGGTTAGGATGTCAATGTGTAAATTGTGGGGGACACAATTCAATCTATAACATTTGTTTCAATTCCCTAGAGATAAGATTGCTGGACCATGTGGTAAACACTACGTTTAACTTTCTATAAAACTGCCAGATCATTTCCCAAACCATCACTGGGCACCCCCATCAGCAGTGTGTGGAGTTCCAGTCGCTGCCCCCATCCTCCAGCACTTGGTATTGCAACCTTCCCAACCTTAGCCGTTCTAATCAGTGTCCAGTGCTATCCAGACACAGTGTAACTGGTACTTTCCCTATCCTAACGATGTTGAGCATTTTTTACGTATTTATTATTCATACATCTTCTTTGGCTAAGTGTCTGTTTTTATCTTCATTCAAGAAGGTGTATTTCTGCTGTTCAAAGTGTTTTCCTTTTGGTACTCTAAAAATGTTGGTTCATTGTCTTCTGGTCTCCCTTGTTTCTGATGACAAGTTCATTGTTATTCAAACTGTTGTTCCTCTACTTGGAATGTATCTTATGTTTTTTGCTCTAGATGCTTTCAAGATTTTTCTCTGTTTGGTTATCAGCAATTTGACTATATTGGATTTTTCTGTATTTATGCTGCTTGGGCTCACAGAGATTCCTGAATCTATAAAGTTAGGTCTTTTAGCTATTTTGGTAAATTTTGGCCATTATTTCTTCATACAGTTTTTCTTTCACAGTCTTTCTGGCCACTTCTTCTGGATCTCCAATTACATATACTATACCCTCAGGTTCCTGAGATTCTGTTCATCTTTCTTCCTGAGTATTTGTTCTCTTTCTTCTTCAGATATGATCATTTCTATCTTCAAGGTTATTAAAGTCTTTCTCTATCTTCATTCTGCTATTAAGCCTTTGCAGTGAACTTGCTATTTCAGATACTTTATTTTTCAGTTCTAGAATTTCTCTTTGTACCTTCTACTTCTCTTTTGGTACCTCTTATCTTTTCATTCTTTATCAGAGTATTTTCCTTTACAGAAAGAGTTCTCAAACTTTAGGGCAGCTCGGAAGAGCCTTTTAAAAACAGACTGCTGGACCTCACCCCAAAGTTTGAGATTCATTTGAAATGAGACTGGAGAATTTGTATTTCCAAAAAGTTGCCAGATGCTGCTGAAGTGTCTAGCCTAAGGACCATATTTTCAGAATCACTGCTTTATACTACTGAGCTTAGATATAACAGGTGCTTTAAAATACTTGTCTTCTAATCTAACATCTGAGTCATGTTGGGTTTAATCTCTGCTGATTATCTTTTCTACTAAGAATCACTCCGATTTTCCTATTTTTTCATGTGCTGAGCAACTTTGAGTTGAAATCTAGATGTTCTAAATGTTGTGTCACAGAAACTCTGGATTGTATTCTATTTCTCCCAAGAGTGACTTTTTTTTTTCTGTTTGAGCAAGCAGTTCACGTGGCTGGACTCAAAACACACACTCTGTCTCTTGAGAAACAGCTCAAATCTCAGTTCAGTTCTTCCATCTGTAGCTAGGCTGCTTGAAGTTTGACTGCCAAATACACGGTTTGGGGATCAGCCAAAGATTTAGGTAGAGTTCACACATAAAGTGGTTCCCTCTCCTGGTTCTCCCTTGTCTGAGACTACCCTCCATTTCCAGTAGCTGTGGGTGCCCACATTCTGTTATCTGGCTAATCAGGGCAGAAAGACTAAGAATGTTTATCACGGTTTTAGTCATTTTATATGTTGTCAACCCTGTGGATATCTGGTCAGAAGTCTGAAAAAAATGCAGTGGGGGAACTCACAGTTCCTTCCTTCCAAGCACCTGCTCCCCTTCAGAATTTGCCTGCTCTTATTCATTCTCTGCATCCCTCAGGTAGTTCTTCTGGTTTACAGTTGCTATTTGCATAAGGGTCTATGCAGTATAAGCACAGCCAATACTGGAAGCAAAACTCCCTCCTAGCATTATTTTAAAATAAATATGAAATCTTCCCAAATCACCCACTACTATAAATTTTAATCAGATGTTATACTACTGTATAAATATACCTATTTTTGAAATATGTAAGTTAGAATAAACAGGTTCCTATAAGTAACAGAGATTATATCTGTATGTGATTTGTAGAAGGAGACCCAGGTAACTCACATTACCTATCTTTTTATATATGTTCAGCTGAAAGTGCAATTACATCTTTATGTACCCATAACAAAATTATCCAGTGTATGTTAAGAAACCAATTCACTCCTTTCCTATATGTTTCTTTGGAAATACGAATCAGAGATATTCTAGGTGGGCTATTTTTCTGCAAGTCACCCTGCCTCAACCATGTGTATTATGTACTGAGCTTCTTTTTGATAATACGACTCGATAAGTTGCCTGAAAAGCCTCTAAGTAAGTTAAGATGCATTTAATCCTATTTAATAAGGGAAAGCTACAACCACGTAACCTATTTTCATTTCAGCTCACTGCTTCAGGGTGATTTATAAAGAATCAATAGCAAAACTGTTACCGGTGAGTTTATTTTCCTAAGCATTTGGCTGTGTTGATCCATTTCAGAACTGCCTCTGACTGTTAAAACATCCCCAGGGAAATGTCTTCTATGCATCCACTTCCACACTACCTCTCCTTTAGCACACACAAGATATGTGATTAAAAATGAATTCATAATAAGCATTCCATTACAGAGCACTTGTAGCAAGCTAACAAAATTCAGCAAAGTACCAGTAATGCAATTCATATGCCAACAGGCAGATAACAATCCTGTCGATTAAATAAACGGAGAGCCAGAAACAAAGAGGGGCATATTTGTGACAAGTACATTCCTAATGAATATGCCAGCTTATTCATTAAATCTTATAGAACAGATTTAATCTTGGTAGCTAAGCCCTGAAAGCATGGAGGCTGCCTGAGGGTGTGGCTCCTTGTTCCATAATTAAAATCCATGTGGACAACTGCTGGCTGAACAGAAGCAAAGGGCAGATAAAAAGACTAGGTGGATCTGTGTTATCCCAGAAAAAACAGCTCCCTAAAAGCAGGACAAAGGGAGATGTCGGGATTTTCCTCCCAAGCCTGAAAAGTCAGGGAAGGAATACTTCTTTGTCAGGTAGAAATCACAACCTCAAAGGGGTTTGGAGATGTGATAAAGTATTTCCACAATCTTAAATGAAACTCAGCAAGGCCAGCAGATTCTGTGGCAAGTGACATCACTATGGAAAAAATGTGTAGTAAGACTGCACTGAACTTAATAAGCCTTGAGTGCTAACTGGCTGCGGCCCTCATGGTGGCAGGGTGACACGGCTGTCCCCACCATACCCTCGACACTCATCATACAGCTCTTTCAATGCTACAGAAGAACCACCTTGTGCAAAGGCAATGTCGTCCACTAGAAAGTTCCCTTCATCATTTTAGGAGCCCTGGTTTCCCACTCTGCCACGGATCTACTACTGTTTGTACATGTACAGGCTGGACCCAGTCATCAACCTACTTAATTCTCCAAAACCCATTCCTGACTTTGGCTCTGCATGGAGCATCTCTCCATGAGGCCAACCTTTCCCGCAACTCCACTCTCATACTCTGGTCATCCCACAAACTACAGGTGGGGTGGCAACGAATCAATCAGCAGCCCCAGGAACACATCCAGACAACAGGTCTGATTTGGGAGCAGGCTGTGCTGTAGTGACTGCAGTCGCCAGGTGCAGACTCTGGTTTTTCCTCAGCATAATGCATTAACTTTCACAACTAAATGCAAGTTCAACACTCTAGGCCATACATTTAGGCCTCATTTTTTACAAAAAAAGAGATAGTAATTCCTATCTGCTTTCACAGTTCCTAGAGTTGATGAAGTTAAAAAGAATAATTTATAAACTACTTTTTACAACCAACTCCCACAACTTAACAAGTGAACACACCTGCACACATACAAACGTGCACACGCACTACTATTTCCTGTCATCATGCCAATAGCTCTATTTGGACAAGGAAGTGGCTTAAAGTAAAACACAAACTTATTGGACTGCCATCTTACTAAAGTAATTGAAGAAAAAAAATTAAGATCATATTTTAAGAATACACATCAGGAACAGAGACTCTCCTATCAACAGACTTACCAATATTACACACTACAGGAAGTGCATAACTAACATTGGTCAAGTAGCTAGCTGTCACCAAGACCTGTCCTCCTCCTCCCATCATAGGGCACCATGGCTGACAACAGCGGCCCAGCCGGGACACCATTCCCAGGCTCACTCACGGTCACGCAGCCCAGGGACCAGTTCCCACCAACAGAAGGTAACAGGAGTAATACGTGTCAGTATCAGCTATGGGCTTTGGGACTGTATCTTCTCCTGTATCTCTTTTCCTATCTGCTTACTAGATTCAGATGATTAAGCCAAATCCACTACACTGAGAAGAACCACTCACTAATCAGGAATAGCCTGGGTCCTTCCATAAGTGAGAACTGAACTCACATGGATACCACAGCTTGGCACCACCCTAATAAATAACCTGAAAGGAAGACTCATTAAAGACTACACAGCTTTATGATCCTATGCACACGGTAGTGAGCCAGCCTTACTGAGTAAATAGAAAGCAATTTACAAACCTTACGGTGAACATCATCGTAATACGGTGAACATTTACGGTGATAAAATGAGAAAGAACCAAGTTTCTTACATTTCTGAAGCAGAAGGGAGGCGTTTCCTCTGTCCCATGCTGCTTATGATAATCTGCCCAGTCGAAGTCCTGGCCAGAGTAACCTGCACATCACAAAACACAGACAAAACAGCATTACACCATCCAAATCACAGACAAATGCACAACTTCACGGTGCATCAGTAATTAAAATAGTAAGGGCTCCATACAGACCCTCAAAGGGTGAGGGTCTTTCTTACGCCTAACAGCATGTCAGACTTCATGAGGGTCGAATGAAATATTTTAAAAAACTTAAAGTACCATAAATACTGGTACATACCATCATTACCATAATGTATGCCTGAAACCAGGTGGAAAGGGTGGATTTACCCACATCAGCACATGCCAGTGGGTAGAGTTGCCTTGGTAGAGAATAGATGAGACAGAGGTTATGTTACAGGACATTGAGAAGAGCTCCCCACTGAACAGCTGAAGACAAGCAGAAGGCCTGCAACAGAAGGGCCTGTTTGTTTATGGTTGTGGCAGGCTGGCTTGGGTAAAGCCAAGATCTCCTGTTCTAAAATCTCTTCCCTGGACCTTTGCTACTTCATCAGGCTCATGGGCTAAGAGGGGACCCAGGAAAACCCCTGTATAAATGAAGAGCAAGCCATTTTCTGATATAACATGGAATTTGGGTATTCTTTATGGTCAATATCTGTGCAGATAAAACTTTCCAACCTAGAAGACACCTCTGCTCCTCTACAGACAAACACGTAGCTAGAATTGCCATCATGATCACCATCTTGCAAAGGGCTTCAGCCCACTCCACCAAATGCTACGCTCCATGGCTCCTGGGACCTACACTCATTCCTCCTCTATTCAGTCTTCCAGACTCTTCCTTTGGAGAGCCTCCTTACATCTAATAATTTCAAGAGATGTAACTAAGTCTTGCTGGGCACCTAAGCAGCAATTAATTATTCTGCCCCTAGAACTCTCTCGTTTCCTTGAGCATGTCAACAGCCTAGACTTCTCTTCCTTCTCTTGGGGACCTTTATTCACTTCATCACTTAAAATTCTTTTCCTTCAGGCTGATAATGAGCTCTCTCTTTATAAGGCAGTTTTGTGACAGCTCAGAAAATAACTGCTGCATAAAAACAAATTGCTGTAGCTTCTATAATGGAGACAACAGGGGTCAATTATACTCATTAATCAACAAAGACAGAACAAGAAGTACTGAGGCTTAACTGTAGCCAGGAAAACACGTCTTAAACCCAGGAGGGAGGAAAACAGCAGAGGGGGAAAGAGAATAAAGGGAAATCAAAACCCCTCAGGCTATTAAAATTTGCAACAAGCTGCCATAGTAGACTGTTGAACCAAGCAAGGCCATTAGAGTTATTTAAGCTTTTATTTCTGTTTATTCTGAATGAAGTTCCAACTGTTACAGGTCTAAAAGGGAAAAGGTCAATGACCCATTTCCTTATGACACAAATTAATTGACACAAGACAGCTCCACTTGCAAGTATTGCTCTTTTTGGTAGTGTATGTGGACGATTCCTTTGAGAAATAATTTGGCAGTAAAAAACGTTTATGAACTTTGAGACACAATTTCATTTCTGGGAATTTATCCCATATAAACAACCCTAAAAACTGAACAAGTCTTATACATGAAGATACAATGGCATTATTATTGATAATTCTAGGAGGGGAATTATTTTACATCCAAAATAGGAAATGATTGAAACTTATCCAAGTCTACGGAAAATCATGCAGGTGTGAAACTGCACATAGTTTGTAAAAAAAAAAAAAAAAGAGAGAGAGAGAAAGGAAAAAAGCGAAATATATTGCTATAGGTTTAGCTAATAAAGACTGCTGCAAGCATATACAGAATTATCAAATTTATAAAGAAATATGCAAAGAAAAGACCAAAGGAAATGTAAGAAAAATTTAATAGTAAATATTGACATAATTATCTGCGTGGTGGGCTTCCTGGATTCTTTTTTCTTCTACCTCTTTGCATTTTCCAAGTTTTCATTAATGACCATGAAGTATTTCAATAATAAAAATTATTAGAAAGCACAGCATCTTTGCTCTTTTTAAAAGATACTCAAAGTACTGGTCAATCAAGTCCTTTTTTGCCACGTGGAATGCACCACGACTGCCTCCCACAGCTTCCAGCTTCCATTTGCCAACAGAATCCTGATTTTATCCAGTTCCTAGAGGAAGTCAGGCCTCTCCTCAGCACCACAAAGTGAATCCTGAGACAATTATGGTGGTCTCATGCCCCTTGCCAATGGCTGGAGACGGAGGTAAAGGGAAGGACTTAGAAATAGATTTCCCTCTCTAATATAAGAGATACACAGGAGCAAAAGCTGCCCTTCTATGCTGGGTGTGTATAAAAAAATTGTGCAATCTTAATTAAAAATAAAAACAGTGAAAGAATATCATCTTTGCCACCTACCTGATGGGCAAAATGAAAAACAACCCTGAGACTCTTCCATTATAAGATCTGTTGACAAACAGTACTTTTATGCATTTCTCGTTGGTGTATAACTCAAAAACCATTGCAGATGCCAATGTGGCAGCACATGTCCAAATCTTTAAGAAGGTGCCTACTCTCCTACCTAGCCATTTGTTCACTCTTGTTATTCATTCATTTCAAAATACCTAAGTGCATATTACGTGCAAGGCATGGTTCTAGGGATACGGAAGTGAACAATGCCAAGAAAAACCCTCACTCTCTGCACAGCTTACATTTCCATGAGACAGATATACAAGTATCATAGGGAGATCATCAAAGTGTTGGAGAAAGTGGATGAGGGGTGCAGGGAGAGCCGAAGTGTTATACATGAACAGCCTTGATGAAAAGCTGAGGAAGGAAGCATGTGGCTATCTGGGGGAAGGATGTTCCAGGGACGGGGACCAGCAAGTGAGCAAGCTCAGAGGAGGTCTGGAATGTTCTAGAAAGAGCAAGGAGGACTGTGGGGCTCTGCAGAGTTCACTGGGCAAAAACAGAGCAGTAGTTCTTTTATGGACCATCATACAGAGATAAGATGATGGCCTGTGAACATTTTATGAACAAAGTAGAATTGAGAACAACAGGGGTGTGTTTAAATCAATTATCCACCTACAAATCAGGGTCATTTAAAGTAGTAGATATTTTGGCAGGATACATCTTAATAAATAAGTGATAAATTAATAAATAAGTGATAAATTGTATAAAATAATTAAACAGATACACAAAATTACATATTCAGGGAAACAAATCTGAAAAAATACACACCTAAAGTTTTTTCTTCAGGATAGGAAACTCTCTACTTTTTTCAATATTTTAAAGAATGAGAGGGTATTAAATCTGTAGTTGGAGGAAAAAGTCTTTAAAAAATAAACTGAAGTCTTATAAAGTCGTAGCAAAGGCAAGGATGGAGGGGGACGTGGAGCATTAGGAAAGAAAGCTCTGGAGCACCCCACCACACGTGGATGGAGATGCCACGGCCCCATGAGGTGGTCTTTACCTAAGGGGGCCTTTACACTGTTGAGGTCCTGGAACATCTGGTCTTAACAGCAAGCTTGTTTGGCTTCTAGTTCAACATCTCTTTGAAAGGAAAAGCAACACAATCATCTTCAAAGATCAGCAAGTAGCAGGACCGAGCTACATAAATGGAGGAGGATACAACAGAACCCACGCTAGAAGAACTGGCTCTTAATCCCTTCTTGGCAAATCTCGTGACTCCTTGGAGTGGCTCAACTGGGCACATTTTCATCACCCTGGTCCTACGGAAAGGTGATCTCTCTCCTTGCAAGCGAGGCATTTACTGACTTCACTGGACACTCAGGAGGCTAAGCACACGATGGTTCACCTCGTGGGACGCCACAGCCAGCTCGTGAGGTAAGTAGGATGCATGCCCCATTGCACAGCCACACAGACCTCAGGGCACAGAAGCGGTCCTGGGAACAAGTCTGCCTGAGTAAGTTTTCTCGACCATCCCTCAGGTCGTTTCTTTATAGAGCCTTACAAACTGATTGTAAAATTCATGCACAGAAATAACTGAGACAATTTTGAAAACGAAGAATAAAACAGAAAGATTCACCTGATAGATATCAAGACTTATTACAAAGTAAACTCAATTTTTAAAAGTGAGGAATTTGTGAAGAGATGGACAAACAGATAAGTGAAGTGCAATAACTAAGCACAGGATAAGGTTCACATCCATACAGGGACTGGCTACTCAATTAATGATGCAGAAATAGTTGGTGAATTTGGAAATTCAACTCAATTCAGTTGAAAAAATAAAATGGTCTTCTTTCTTCAGGCCATGCAAAAATTAATTGCAAGTAGATAAAGAGCTAAATATGGAAAGCAGAACTGCAAGACTTCTAAGGAAAACAGAGAAGAACATCAGCATGAAGGATTTCTAGAGAAATATAAACAAATCATGATAGCTAAGATGGATATATGACTACATTATAATTTAACACTTCAACATAATAAAGCACAATTAAAATGATGAACCACAGACTAGACCATTATACTTCTTATTTGAATGTACAAATACTTCCACAATCAAAAAGGGCAAAAAATATGATTAACAATTCAAAGGAAATACAAATTGGCAATAAATTGCCACAGCATTAGCAGCCAGGACACACAAGTGACACAAGGAGGCCCAATTCACTGCCACCTGAGGGCCCTGACACCACCCATGAAAACCACCTAATGGGGCAGATGAGGCAAGACGGAAACTCTAGCAATGCCACATGCAGGTCTACCCCCAAAAAGGAGCTCTCAACATTTGGGTACATGTGCAACATTTGAGTATTTTTTGCAGTGGGGAAAACTGGAAAGACCTTCCATGTCTCTGTGAGAAATGGAGTTCAACAATCATGGTATACTCATGAATATACCATGAATACATATCTACGTACATCAACATGGAAAAAATCTGCAAAATGCTACCACCACAAAGTATAAAAAGTCACATAAAGAGAGGCATAGCGTGATAGTATTCATATATATATGTTAAAACTAGATCTACTATAAAGTGGCTGTGATAAAAAGAGTGAGAGATTGGGGCAGAGAAGACACAAAGACCAAGGTATTCAGGCAGTAAAAGCACCAAGTCTTGAGGAAGGTGGTTCTCTTGTGGCGGGTGGGCTGGGAGTTACGGGAGTGAGAAAGGGAGGAGGATGGTGATGACACAGGAGGTCCTGAAAATCCTGGCAGGACACAAATCCTAGATGCAGGGTGCGAGACACAGAGAACCCAGGGTGACACAGGTTTCTGTTGTATCTACAACGTTTTATTTCATGTTTTAAAAACCTGAATCAAATATGGCAAAATGCTAGTGGCTGTTGGATCAAAGGCTGTAGGGGCATGAGAGTGTGTTTATTATTTTCTGCCCTCTTTGGTATATTTGAAATAGAGCATTACTAGATGAACTAAGTCCATCAGTTAGCGTATGAGGCTTCTCTTGGGGAAAAGAGAATACCAATTAGGTTCACTACTTTTCCTCTTGATGATAATTAAAATACACCGTTACCTCTTAAATTGTGTTAACAGTTTATGTGTCCATTAAGATGGCCAACTGGTAGAGACAAAGTGCCAAAATAAGCTATTTACCTTAGCCTGCGCTCACACATTTTACAACAGACATTTAAAGGCTTAACATGTTCCACAAAGATCCCTTGGGGTATCATGTTTTTTCTGCTAATACCACAGCTAATCTTTGAGGCCAAGGAGGTTAATGAAATAATTTAAAAATTGCAAGTCATGGTTGATAACCTATACACATTTTTGCTTAGTTGATTAGTGTACTTGTTTGATCACTTTTAAGGTAACTGTAATATTGGATTGTTGTTTATTGGGTTTACATTAATTAATGGGGCAAAATCTCCAAGGTTCTGTCCTTTGCTTACCAGGAAAACACTTGCTCAGACAGAGACAACATTGAGAAATTCCTATCCTACTAGCTTAGACTATGTACCTCTAAAGTCTGGAGACAGAATTTTTAAAAAAAATAGGAATAGGGTCAAAGCAATATAAATAACAATCTGTGTTCTTTGCATACCTCCTATACCACCGAATGTCTTTTGCTTCACCAACTCTTCCCGCTGAGGAATGAGGAGGATGATATCTTTTTGAGATAAGGCAACATGTTGTAACTGTAAGGGGTGTTTACAGTTCTAACAAATCTAAACAACATAATACATTTGTGGAAAACAGACACACAAGAAAATGTCTAAACTCACTTCTCAACATGTCCAGTAAATCCTATACACTTTTATGAAGTTCAGAATTGGCTCAGGATTTAAGTTAAAACTTTTAAAAGTGCATATGTTTTCCTATGTTAGAAAGCCAAGAATGACTTCTGAAAAAATTCTATAGCATGAATCCCAGCCTTGGTGTTGACACACAAGACATGTAACCAATTACCTCAAAAGGAAACCAGAAAGTCACCACTGCTGAAAACGCCAACACCACCTCTCAATTTTAATTTTATTACAACAAACAAATATATTTCATTGTATGTATTATATATATATTAACATCAATATATTCTCACAAAATGGCAACAGAACTCAGTCAATGAAGTGCTGACTTTGTTATGACCACTGGTACTGGGAAAATTATTCCCTAGAATTGTAGTTCTCCAAATCCTTTGAAATAGGGATCATTTCAGTCATGAAAAATTGATGGTCCATTGACACGGGCGAGTCCTGCAGCAGGCTGACATATGCCCCCAAGTAACTGAGAATATTGGATTTTATGAAGATACCAGTGAGAAAAAACAGCATTAAAGTATGGATTTGGTGACACAGAGAAAGCATGAGTTTGGGGATCTTAAGACTGGGGGGTTTTAAGCCAACTTCCACCTCAGGACTTGAAAAATCATTTGACACAACTAGCCTCAATGTCCCCACATATAAAATGATCAGAGTTGATGATGAGATAATCTTCTAAGATCCCTTTCAGTCTTATAAACCCTTTACTTTTAATAATATGTTTATTTTTAATAGAAAATACATTCACTTAGATTAATCAGAAAAAATTCTTTAAAAGACTTAAGTAGTCTTTCAAAAGGCTTGTCCCTACCCTCGCCCATCTGCCCCGCTTGCCCACCTCCATATCCTACAGTTTCTTATGGATATCCTCCCAGAGTTTCTTTATAGAAATATGTGCAAACACAAATACATATTCTTCTTTACCTCTTTTCTAACAAAAAGTATCATATTATAACCTTCTCATCTCTCTCACTCGTAGCATACCTTGGAGAACTTCTATCAGTATATAGAGATCTTCCTCAATTCTCTTTAAAAAACGGCATAGTTTTCATTATGTGAATATCCAATCTTCGGAAAACAGAATTCCAATGGGTCCACTGCACTCCTGGGTCACCAACCCCTGCAAATGTTCACAGCATACAAACCTTTGGGAGGTGTGAGACTGACTCCATTTTTAAGGCACCATTGTACTGGTAAAATCCCCAAGGAATCCGCATGACACAACATTGAGAGTTTACTAGGTTCTGGTCTTAGGTCGTCAATAGTCACTTGGAAAAAATGATTGTTAAAAACCTGGAAGAAAAAACAACAGAGCCCGCCAATGAGTTAATTCTTTGGGATTAACATGTAATTATCAGTCTGAAATGAATACGGACACAGCCGCCTAATGCAATACATTCCATCAAAATGGTCTGAGCAAAATCTGGTATTTTAGTGTTTATTTCTAAATTAATCAACTTGCTAAAAAGTTAGAGTTGATCACTGTGGTCATATTAAAGTAAAGATAAACAACTAGAATGTAAAAAACATCAATGACTTTACAGGACTCAACCAACAGTCTTAACTGGAGGAAAAACAAACTGATGAAGTTGGAAGGACAGCCTTTGCCTCGAGGAAAGCCAGCGTGGGCCCTGGCGGCGGCCAGACTGGCTTCTCAGCATCCTCCGTGGGGACCCAGGTCCTCACACCAGGCCATTCGAGAGCCTCCGCGGTGTGCGTGGGCACCACTGGTGTCATCCTGCATCCCTTCCCTCCGCCCGCCAGGCCAACAGGGATGCATTCACCCCGGCAGGTCCTCACTCGGCATTCTCCGGATCTGCAACACTCTGCTAGCTGCCAGTCCATCAGAACAGTGCATTTCCAAGGTGCATGCAGAAAGTCACTGCTGCTGGAATGTTTTTCTGGCCACTGCTGTTAGAGTAAGGGCCCCAGCTCCAGCAAAGCACCAAACCTGTACCTCTGCCCTGAAAATCCTCGTTCATCCCTGTGGGCTGACACCAAATCTGTCTCCCCCAACCACCCGAAGTCCTCAGAGGACAGTGGCATCTCTGTTACTCAGCAAGGTGTTGCCTCAACACATAAAGTGCTCTCTGTACATAGAAACTGACAACATCCACTGAACATAAGGAAAAGCACCAATGCAGGAATAGAACAGAGCATGCTGATGGGAAAAGCAAAATGCAAAGTCAGATGGACCCCCACTGCTGAAAAGCATGATGGGTTTACAGAGCTGTGCATGTACAACAGGCCAGAGAAAAAAGACCATGCTCCCAACAAAACAGACGTAAGCCAGTCTTTCTGAGGAAAACTTCATACTCTTTATGAGCTATGAAGTTCATTACATGGCTCCTTCATTTAGAAAATATTTTCTGGAAGCAACTTAATTCAAAGCAAAGCAGGATGGTAAACTCGCTTCTGCTCTCCCTGATGTTAATCCCAGTCAAGAGTTAAGATTCTGCTGCCTGACGTGTGCCTTCAAAAACAGACTTTAAGGAGCAGAGGAGCAAACATCCCCTCTCCAGGGGACCTTCCCTGACAGCCCAGTTTAAATCCCATCTTCCCTTCTGAAACCAATACCCCATTGGCCCCTGACCTGGTGTGTCTTTCTCGTTAGCATTTAACATGTACCATGTTATGCTGATCTTCCTGTTTTATTCCTTGTCTGTCTCCCCCAAGTAAAATACAACCTCTGTTAGAGAAGGACTTTTGTCCATGTTCCCATCGTTCAGAATAGCGTGTACAAACGCCACTGTGACCTGGGGTGTTATGCACACACACATGCATCCTCACACACAGATGCTAAAAAAACACGGCAGCATCTCCTAACGCCACTGGACCATTCAAGGATGGGCACTGAGGAATATCCAAAAGCCAACAAAATGCATGTTCACGTGTGCATACTTCAGAGAAAAAGCTAAATAAGTTTCAAATCCATCAGGGTTCATGTTCCCAAATGGATGAGAAACCCTGGTCCATCGGGTCCAGAACACACTGGTCTCACAAATAAAGCCTATAGAGCCATTAACCAACTTGTCCCAAACTGTGCTGCTCAGAGCTGGGAGAAACACAGTAGCAAAGACTTCTTATTCCAGCTCCTCTGTCTAAATAATACAAAGTACTTCACATACATATCATTGTCATCTGTCAATCTCACTCAGTTTTGGATCAGCAAAAACATGACCTCACTGTACTGCTGAAGGCTGGTCACTTAACCCTGGATCTGCTAATGCTTATTTGCTTGTCTATTTGCTTTGATGTTATTTATTTGTTCAAGAGCCATAAAGAAAAGCCCCAAAGGAAATGAAAATGAAATGCTCACTGTGATGAGCAACAGCATAGTGTGTTATTTTCTCAAACATCATACTCTAAAACCTTTCCCAACATTAAGAGAAATATTTTTAATTAAAAATTAATTTATAACGCATTTATAACTCATCTGAAATACATAATACATCTTCTACATTAAGAATCTTCTGATACTTCACTACAGGTGCATAAATCTTTAACCTGGAAAGATGCTTATCCACATTTCCAGAGGCGGAAGCACACATCCCAACCCATGTGCCACACAACACACAGCCGCAAGGGGACAGGGGGCATCACTTAAGTATTTTATCTTTGGTACAAAGGGTCAGAAAAAATAAACCAAAAAGGAAAATGTCCCTGCCTCCACCCCCAATAAGATTTATTTAGAGAAAATATTGTGAAAACTGAACTACTGTTGCTGGAAGTCTATCCAGCAGGATAGACAATAGGGTCAAAATGAAAAATTATTATGTCACATTCTTTATGACAATTATTTGAAGGCATAGAAGAATGAGAGCCTACCACACACAGGCTAAATAAGCAGACCTGCCCCTCTGGTTTCCTGTATAAATACCAGGTGAAAGGGACACCACAGCCTCTCAAGACAGGCAGGGTGATAATTACCCAGATGAATGGGCAGCTGGTATTAAAGTGCCACTAGCTACCGGAACAAAGGAACACAGCCAGGTGTCAGCAAGGTATCACTTATGTAGCAGTTTTGGGAAAATGTACAGGCACTGGAATACACGTTGAAGAACACAAAGGTCATTTCAAATAAGGTTAGTGAGTAGGGTATGAACATGACAGCATAAATTTCAACCTCAAGAGTATGGTTCAAAGCATGGCAGTATTTATTTTACTTACTCTTTAAATAAATTACTTTAACTGTTATAAAAACGTTATGTTCCCTAAAGAAAAAATATTTAGAAAAGAAGAGAAAGACATTGCATTACCACAACCACTTTCCACATTTGAAATACATTATCACCATTCTATTTCTCAAATGTTACCAAATCATGCATAAAAAAAGAGCATGACTCAAGTAGCTTTAAAACACTAATCGCTGCATTAACAAATCCAGTTTCCATCAGAAAGGGAAATTAAAATGGAATTGAATTTTGAACTGTTAAGTTCCCCCACAAAATGTACAAAAGGACGTTAACTAAAACACACTTTGGTTAAGAAAACTAAGCTTGTTGGTTTCTCCCACTGTATACAGGAGGATATTTAAGGTAGAAATACATAATTTAGATGCGACTTCATTGATGTTTCTTTAGGGGGGGAAAGAAAATTTTCATCTTAAAAGACTATTCGACTATACTAAAATTGCCTTTACATGAAAAATTAATTCCATTTTTAATCTGCCAATCTTAGAAGCAAAACCCTTCCTTTAGTCAAGGAAAGTGGATGTGAAAAAGAAGCTGACACAGTGGAGATGAAAATTTGTTTTCTACCATTCTAAGGTATTTTCACAATATGAGTCCATCATATTAACAACTACCAGAGCAGGAAAAGCAAGCTACTATTGGAATGATTACAACATGCACCTCATTAGCACCTTATTTTACAGGAGCAAATGGTGGCGTCAATGCTCCCATGGTTAATAACAGAAGGCGGCACGTATTCGGAGGCAAGGCTTACAGCTCTGTGTCTGAAACTTCCTTCCAAGTCGCTCAAGGACATTCCATAAGATCGACGACAAACGAAACTCACCCTTATCCATTAAGAGGCGGCATCTGATTAGACTCGCTCTATTCTACCTGGGACACAAAGAGCTTAAATAGGACAAAACTGGACAGAAGGCCATCTCCCTTTGGATTACTTGGCATGTGGCACATCCTTTCATGAGCATATTTCATCTGGCTAGCTTTGAGGGGGAAGCCTTATTTGATGTGTTCTGGAGGTGGAGGTGAGAGGGAGGGAGGAGCACTCACTCACCTTAGTCACTGATGCAGGACATATATGAAAAGGCTCGTTCATATTCACCGTTTCCAGCTTCATTCCAACTGTGAAGAAATGGCTTCGCAAATCTGCGTGATCCTGCAGGGAAAAGGATAAAAACACTGAATGCAATGGTGGTGTAAACGGACTCAGCAACTGTTTAGATGCTGTCCTTGAGCATTTTATTGGGTAACCGCAATTGGACTGAAATAATTAACCCTCCTTCAAATTTCTAATTATTGTGAGACACTGCAGATTTAATTATTTTCTGCAGGCTAAATTGCTTTTCCAATAGAGTGGAAACAAGCCTTTGCGGCCTTGCTAAAATTTGCACTAAGCAAAAATTCCCACTGCACTTCTTTGATCTTCCTAGGTGCTATCACTGAAGCTCAGCAGAGTAACCAAGGTAATCAGTCATCTAAAACACAGCAGGTGCATCTTTAGAAAATGTGGCCTCTTGCTACTAGAGTTACTTCACAGGGCTTCAGAGGGTACCTCAGAGGTGACACAGCTTGTCCCTGACTCCTGAATCTGAGAGCACAGCTGATGACCCTGGAGATGTGTGCACACAGATGCCCAAACCACCCTGCACACAGTCAGAATCTGACTCCTGCTCAACAAGGATGAGCAACAGCCCATTTCATGGGTGGTCACTCTATAACTCACAGCAATCTTATGTGTGCGAGATGGAATTTTCCTGTCTTCTCAAGAAAACAAATTTCAATATCCACTTTCACTGTACAGCAGCTGATGAGGCTGGCTGGCCTCTGCAAGCCAGGATTTACCTCGCTGAAATGGAGGTCACCTCACAACTCACAGTCTGGATAAATAAGGGATAAATAAATGTGTTTGCAGCCTGTCCCTGAGGAAATAATAGCTGCAAATAAATCCTGCTATTTCTAAATCTATTAATTGGGTGAGAAGTACAAAAATATTTGGGGATCTTTTACTTTTATCTGCAAGTCTTAAGTGGGTTTTTAATTCAATGATGCTATTCTACATGCAACTCTGAGGATTGTGCAGAACCCCACCAGGCTGTGACTGCTCCCCCACCACAAGACCACAGGAGGGAAAGCCTAAAATTCTCTACCACTCTGTTGCTTTACCAAAGAAGGCAGATAGAAGCCCCAGGGCCCTGACTCCTGTGGCCAGTTTGCAAAGGTCTCCATACTCCATGGATGCACAATAAATGTTCGGTCTGGGTGGAGCAAACAGTGCCACATCTGGGAGGGCTGATCAGAACAAGAAGGGATATTCTCTAGATGCAATGACTTGAGTGACAAAACTCACCAGAAGAACAGGCCCATCCTGAACCTTCATGAATCCTTAGCTTATAACCAACACTTCATAAAAATTACATGTACAAAGAAAAGTGCAAGGAAATAGTCACAGTTTTAGGTGCACAGATGGTTTTCATTGTTTTATACTGAACACAAAGCATTTATGTTTAAAGGTGGCTGAGTCCTCAGAAAAGGGATCCAATAGCATAGAGGGTTAATGCATAGGAACACATGTCAACCATGTGCCAAGACAGAGGCAGAAACCATAGGTGTTGAGACAAAAGTAGTAAACCAAAAATGACAACTGACATCTGAGTCAAAAGATCCCAAGTTAATGTTCCTGGTGGACATCAGTGCTCCCCTATCAAAGGGGACTGAGCACATTAGTAGATTTTTCAGGTAACTCTTTTTTCCCTTTAAGCATAAAACCCTTTAGCCTTTGAAAAGAAAATTATCCTAAAATTATAATAGAACTTTGCTGGAATAAACTCAACAAGTTTAAGCAATCATTATTATCCTGTCTGGCAATACAGAGATATCCTCAGTTGCTAATGACACATTCCATAACCATAATAAATGGCCCCTTTGAGTGTGGTATTTTCACAGAAGTTCTTCTGTGTTCCTGTCTGCTATCAGATGTCCTTCCTGGTTGCAGCGTTCCTGCTCATTACTCACACAGCTACAAGGCTAAGCATTCTTGAGAGATGCTTCACCAGTAACAGGAAACTTGTAACTTCTTCCTGGCTGCTCCTACTGCAGACCTGTCCTTGCAATTTTAATCTCACCTGTCCTCCCATTTGCCTCTCTGTGTTTCTGATTAAGCATTCTTGAGAGATGCTTCACCAGTAACAGGAAACTTGTAACTTCTTCCTGGCTGCTCCTACTGCAGACCTGTCCTTGCAATTTTAATCTCACCTGTCCTCCCATTTGCCTCTCTGTGTTTCTGATGTAGGGTTGGGGTGTCCTGACAGCATTCTGGGCTTCTGGTGAACCCATTGCTGCTTTTCAGCTTGTGTGCTCACCCTGTGTCCGTATTCTTTTGTTTCCTCTGGGTAGAACCAGCTTTCTAAAGTAGCTGACCCGTGAATCCCAGGCTCTCAGTGAGCTCATCTGACCACTGACTTGATCGAAGTCTTTAGCCGAGTCTACACCCATCTCGGATCTATGCTCCAAGTCTTCCAGAAGATGTCTCAATTACAGCTCTTGAAGCTGTGTTGAAAACTCTGTGGCCCTCAGGAACCCAACTAACAAATGTCCTTTAACTGCTGCCTTGTTTTATTCACTGCTGTCCGGTACAAACAGGCGATGTTGATATTCTTAGAAATAAAGCATAAAGGCTTAGGACAGCAATTCACCCCTACATAACCTTCTCCTTTCCCAGGCTGCCACCTGCATTATGCTTATTGCTAATGATTTCAGTGTATTCTGCATCAAACCCTATCTCCAGGCTAAGAGGCGGCCACTTCATGCAGACACCACACTTTTCTTCCTTCTTCTCTGGAGTGTCTGTGTGCTTGTTTGCCGACCACTGAACATCTCTGCTCATACACAAAATACACCATTCACATCAAAATTGTACAAGGCCATATGTGGGATGAAAATATTAATGATATTAATATTTTTAAAGAATTAAAACACTGTTGAGTCATTCCCATCACACTCAAAATTTTGTCTCCATGATGTTAAAATGTTATCAAACAATTTAAAAATAATGCTTAGTGAGTAAAGATTTAGAAACAATTTTTCCCTTTGTAAACCATGGCTCAGATTTCCTATGTCTTAAATGATTTCCTAGTAAGTTTCAGTTGCAAGCACACAACTCCTTACTTGTGGAAATGCATCTGTTTTTGTTCCAAACTATGTGAAAACTCTTAAACCCTCTCATTTTAACATACTGGAAAAAGAAGCCACACCCAAATACAGGTATTTATATTCTGGTTTCAAATATCCACATCTCTCTGTAATATCTGATTAAACTTAACTCCAAATTTCAGAAATGAACCCAGAAGCTATAAAATAGATTCCTGTACATCCCCAGCTCACCTTCTAATTTCTTAAGGTCACTGTTTGTCATTAATAAAGGAAAATGGAAGAAAAATCCCTCTTTGACCATGTAGAAATCCCACCAGTTTCAAAGGCAAGTCAACATAATGAAAGTTTTTAAAATTCAGGAGCAAGACACATAATGAGTTTGACTTTGATTGTAAATCTGCTACTCCAGTGCTTATGTTATGCATGAACTATGATGTCAGAAAATTTTTACTGCAAGAGGCAGAATAGTGTCTTTCAAAAGGGCTTGCCATTGAAACCTCTGGCTACTGGAGACCTTTAAAAACATGACAGTGGCCATGTAGTACGTGCAATACTTTCTAGTCAATGTCAAACTCTCACTTACGTTATGTGGTCCATCCAGAAAGACTCCAGTAATATTTATTGAATTAAGCTGAAGAATTGTGAAAAACTAGATGATTTCTTGACATCCATTCCAATTTTACTTTTTCTCATTCATTCAATAAGTAGTCATCATAAACCACTGAGGTACTATATAGTAGGTACTAAATATACATGCACACAAACTACATTTATCAAAGGGAAATGGAGGGAAAAAAAGGAAAAACTATGGTAGATCCAGACTTAGAAGAAATTTGAAAATAAATATTTCTACTTGTCACATACAGAAATTACTGTCACTATGATGATGGCGGTCCAAGGATGGGTAGGAGTGAATCTTAACTTGGAATATGAAAAGCACATGACTAGAATGATAAAGATTCTGGAAAGGCAGCACAGTCAACATAGTTAGAGAGGTTGGATCTTCAAATACCAGATTTAGGCTTCTAAGTCTGACCTAAAAAGGCAAAGGGAGTTGTTGGATGCTTCTAAGAAGTTTTTTATTATAATTAAAGAATTCAGCACTGATGAATTTCCAGATCAGACAATGCATAGACTTTCTGAGCTCTGTGTGTGTATATATAGGTATATTCATTTTAGTAGAGAAAAGGTAGATATTCTCATTGAAAAACAAATTCCATACCTCCAGACCATTTACTTCAGGCATCAATGCAGTCAGAGTACACGCACTCATTTATACAAACGCCAGCTAATCATTGTCAAGGTTAACAAGAGAGTTCCTGGTCCCTGAAGATGATTCACAAAACCGATTATCTACTGAGAGATAATGGAAAATTCACTGTGGTTTGAGAGATGCAGTCTGGCCTTTGCAAAGCTCTAGAGAATCATTCACACTTCACAATTACTGGATCAAGAATGATGTTATTCCTGAAATCAGGAGGGATTACTAAAGCCTCAGTACATTTACAAATATGCCTGTCACATTCAAGAACTACTGCTTATTTAAATGCACTGGAGTCCAGTTAAATTGCTCACAGAAAAACTTCCGTTTAATAAACGCTGGCAATGTCATTCCTATCCACACTCATCCTTAGACATTTAACTGTTGCCCTGAAGTAGCTTTCTATTGATCAGAGGTAAAATGCCATTCATTTTAGTGGAGGACTGTCTTCCCAGCCTACCTGAACAATCGCTCTTCAGGGAACCTTATTTTCAGTCGAACGACAACATAGAAGAGATTATGTATACATCAACTCCTGTCCTCCACTCAGGTTTCATCAGCTTTATTCTCTCCTGAACCTAAGCAGCTAGTTGGCTCTCCTCCTAAGATACAGGGACTCTGCACTGGGTTTAACTTGGTTTGGTATATAATGTCAAGCAGATGGGAACAAAAACAACATGGGTGTGTTATAAATACCTGTAAGCAGTTCCCTTGTAGTATCACTTTCCCTTAGACTACAGAGGACT